GGGGGCCGCTGCCTTCCCCCTTCCGTGGCATTTTGACTTTTAGGAGTCTCTCGGCCTTTTCCTTATTTTTATGTGGTCTAAAGGACAGCTTGAACTTCCCGTTGATGCCACAAGGGGGGTCTCCTACCAGTCTGTCCCCAGGGGATGGGGTGGGGACGGGGTTAGGGGCTGGGGTCAGGGGCCACCATCGGGCAGGGGGAGCTGAGCAGTCTCACCCGCCCACCTACAGGAGGTTCCCGCAGCTCAGCGAGGTTGTGTCCCCCGACCCCCCCTCGCTGAGGCAGGAGGAGGGGCCGGTCCTCCGCAGTCCTGGTCCCCCACAAAATGTACTTACCGAACTTCCCGTGGTCTTTTTAAGTATACACGGTTAAGGTTTTTTTTTTTTCTTTCCCTTTTTCTTTGGGGAAAGGGCCCCTCCCTCTAATTCAGATAGTTCCCCTGAAACTGGTGACTCGGGTCTTCTGGCTATTGATAAGCGTGGTGGAAGCTTGCCGACTTCTCAGCCCACCGTGGGCGGGAATGGCTGCAGGCCAGGCCAGGCCCTTAGCGTCAGGGGAGGGGGCCTCGCGCCCAAACGTTTTTTTTTCCTTTAAGAAACATATTAACCAATCTCGCTTCCTTCACTGCCTAACAGGCAAATCAAAAACAGAGGCAAACCTGGATACTGATTGAAATAACAGCTTTGTGTCTCCTTTTTTTCTGTCTAGGGACAGAGGTGGCGTTTCGGCGGGACACCCAAGACCCCGTCCTGACTGAGGCAGGGAGGGAAGGAGCTCCGTGAGGCCCCAACGGGCAGGGACTGCGACCCTCCCCGGCCAGAAGCAGGTGCAGAAGGAGAGGCCTCCCACCCCTCGACACCCACACTAATGAGAAGGGGCTCATGGCTCTTAGGGAAAGGTTAGGCAGGAAAGTTAGGCAGGGGTTTCGGGTCCGCCTGCAAAACGCCGAGTCATCCTGTCCTAGAAGGCGGCCGCCCGTCCGCCCACCATCAAGCCAGCCAGAGGGCATTTTAGGCTAAAAGTAACTCGTACAAGGAACCAGGCGAGCAGGAACTTGGGTGCTAGTTTCAGCCAGTCCCTCGCACCTGCGCGGTAAAGGCCAACGACCTTCCCCTGGGCCTCACCTGAGCCTCATGCTCCATTGTTGTAACACGCTGCGTGAGCCCGGGAGTTCATTACCATCGTAACAGCCTGGATTCTGGGAACGAACATGCGCAGAAGGCCGAGGCTGAGTCGCTGGGTCCTATTCCGCTTGGCTGTCTGTCAAGGAAGCCCACTCCTGAGAGAAGTGAGCGCCCACAGCAAACGGGGGCACAAACCCCAGAGGCTGTGTCACCGGGCCCTGCTCGGCTGCCACGTCTGGGAGGGCCCGTTGCTCTGCTCGCTCCTCCAACAAAGCTATCCGCCGCTGTGCTTCGGGGTCTCCCTCAATTCTTTGTTCGAGACGTCGAGAGCCTGTCGACAGGGGAACCCCACTCTCCAGTGGCACCAGGACTTGGGGACACTGTGCCGACGGAAGAGGCCCAAAGGCGGTTCCCCGGGCCGAGCTGACCCCTCTCCACGACGCCCACATCCGGACGCCTGAGGCCTCCCTGCGGCAAACGGCACCAGAGTGACTCGTCCAAGAACGCTTCTTTGGCAGACGTGTCGCGCGCCTACTGTGTGCGGGCCGGGTGGGGGCATGCAGCTCGCTCGGAGCAGGAACTAACCACATCCGACTCCTGGCGGAGGTGTCCGTCCCTCCACTCTGCCTTTGGCCCTATGCCGGTATCCCAAGGGGGGGTCAAGCGATCTGGCCTGTGCTGGAGGCCCCCAGGGGAACCTTTCTGGTCATCCAC